TGTTGGTTATTGAGAAAAGTTTTAACGTATGTACAATAATAGTGTAAAAGAAGTTTAATAATTATCAGATTATCTAGATAAAGTATCGTTCATAAGAATCTGTTGAATAGATTAAAGTAGATAGGTACGTTGTAAACAATATTTATATGTTTACACGTGTAAACTTAAAACTTAGTGTATAGAAACATTTATGCTATACATAAATCAACAATAATACCAGCATCTTGAACATAAAATTTTACACAAAAAAAACATTATAGAAGACGTACCTGAAGTGGAATACATTATCACAGCGAGAATAGAAGCATTAGTTTGAAAACTCGGTTTCTATCTCCTTACCCTAACCTTATGTTACTACGGTCGTTAGTGATGGGACGTGTAGAGAGTATGTGTGATAACCCTATTGGGTGGAGGACGGACCAATTTATAGAGATTAAGACTAAATCTGATATGTTCATCAAGTAATCGATTGATGAGATTTATTCTTTATTAATATTAATTATGAACTTAATGTTATTGGGCCACATACGTAGTTCTAACATTCTCTCACTTGGCTAAGAGTTTTCAAGTACAATAATAAAAAATGTCCAGCAGACATTCACCTGATCATGTTCAGGAACTTTTCATATCCAAAGGAGGAGAAAGAAATAAGTATACCTATGTAACACTAAAATCTCAAAATTACATTTTGCAAATTGAAATGTACGTCAATCAATTACTAATAAGTTACAGATAACTGATTTAGCAAAACTTATAGTACTAAAATTGTAATAGCGCGAGCTAACCAATTTTTAGCCCTTAACTGAAAAATAGTCAGTCTGGAGTTTTAAATTCCACAAGTGATGACAATGGCTATTTTTCAATTACATGGACTTGAAAAGTGGCTAGTTTGTGAATTTTAGCCCAACTTTACAATGTATCATTTTGAAAAATGTATATATTTAGCAAGCAGAGCCAGACTGTACAAGGATATTTGAGAGGCATGAGATATTTTAACTGAATGCATATACGTCAGAAGTTTTCGATCATATATGCCTGAATTGCATGCCATGTATATGTCTGAATTTCATGGATAAATTCTCCGACATTTCCTTGCCAATAATACTACGACTTCAAAGAAAAATGTTGAAAGTTTGTTTCAAATTGTCTGAAGTTAGTCTTTGGCAAGCCAAGCTTCAGAAGCGAATGTCAGAAGTTGATTTAAAGCAGCTAAACTTGTAAATATTTTCAAACTTTGGCTATGCCTTATATGGGGCACACCAGGTTAGATAAGATCAGAAATGAGGTTATTCGCGATAAGGTGGGGTAGCCTCTATTAAGGACAAGATGCGGGAAGCGCGACTTAGGTGGTTTGGTCATGTGAGGAGGAGGAGGAGCACAGACGTCACGGTAAGGAGGTGTGAGAAGTTGATATTGGAGGGCCTACGGAGAGGTAGAGGTAGGCCAAAGAAGAGGTGGGGAGAAGTGATTAGGCAAGACATGGCGCAACTTCAGCTGACCGAGGACATGACCCTTGATAGGAAGGTATGGAGGTCGAGAGTTAGGGTAAGTTAGGGTAGTAGAGTAGGTAGTGTAGAGTGTTCATAACTTTAGTATTGACACGCAGTCTTGTTTTCTGTTGGTAGTAAGTTTTTATGACTAACCGTTGTTTTCTTTCATTGCTGATCACTTTACTGTCTTATTGTGTTATTCTGCTTTTATATGGCTTTTTGATACTGTCTCTTCTTGCCTATATTTTTATTAATGTGGTACTTATACTATCTTGAGCGGAGGGTCTATTGGAAACAGCCTCTCTATCCTCACAAGGTAGGGGTAAGGTCTGCGTACACACTACCCTCTCCAGACCCCACGGTGTGGGATAATAGTGGGTATGTTGTTATTGTTGTTGTTGTTGACAACGGTAATCTGTTCACTTCCCCCTCCGTTAATATTAAAGCATTAATGCTTGCATAGATTTTATAATATATGCATTTAATGTAAATTTGCAGCTCAAATTATGGCCACAAACTGTTGCCAAATGCTTTTATAGTTTCATATGTTGGATGTGACATGTTTAATTACTCTCAGGTTCGTGAAAGTTGACATGTCTAGCTCTTATATCCACACAATCCCATGCCTGAAGAAAGAGGAAGACTTACTTCACTAATTTCTTTAATAATTATTTCCCTCTTATGGATTCAAAAACATTCAAGAATAAAAGATATTTAATGATACAATAATAAATGATCAGTGAACAGATTTATATAAATGTTTTAATACTAATGCATATCACAAATACAAACATAAATGTGTGTACGTATGTATATAAAGAAGGCTGTGTGTACGTATGATTTATAACTTCTAATTATAAATTGTTGTGGAATAACCTGCGCACCTTTGTGCTTTGTTGTATTGCTCTTTATAAGATGATACAGAGTACAAGTGATAATCAAATTCTTCACTGAGATAATAATAAGACTCATGCTCTCTATCTAATTGCAGTCTCCTATTCAAACCAAACTATAATACATTAACACGCCCGCCCCCTCAAGCTGAACATGGATTAGTAAAAATGTGAAGCTTGTCACGAAGAATTGAAAGGCGGTGAGAAGATAAACCTTTAGTGAGAATGTCTGCTAGCTGCATGTCAGTAGAGATGTAGCGAACCAAAATAGAACCGGCAGCAACACGTTCTCGAATAAAATGAAAATCAATCTCCAAATGCTTAGTACGAGCATGATAAATGGGATTGGTGCACAGATATAAAATACTAACATTGTCACAAAGCACCAAAGGAGGATCAGAGAGCGGTATACCCAAGTCATGAGCAGATGTTGGAGTCATGATAATTCATACCGTGTGAGCTAAGGCTTGATATTCAGCTCCACTGCTAGAGCGAGAAACAGTAGGTTGCTTCTTACAACTCCAAGAAATTAGATTTGGTCCAAGGAAAATAGCAAAACCAATATTAGATCTACGAGTATCAGGACATCCAGCCCAATCAACATCTGAGTATGTCGTGGGAGAGAAGTTTGAGGATGACTTCAGGTGAAGGCCAAGAGATATTGTGCCAGCCAGATAACGAAGGATTCGTTTAACGGCAATAAGGTGAATGGTACGAGAATTGCTCATGAATTGAGAGACAGTATTTACAGCAAAAGAAATATCAGGCCTAGTTATAGTTAGATATTGCAAAGCACCCACAAGACTACGATATTCCGAAGGATCAAAAAGTAAATCACCCTCAGAGGCAGATGGTTGAGAACCAAATGTAGGGGAACGGACAGGTTTGCAGCCAAGTAAGGATGCTCGGGCAAGGAGGTCACGAGCATATTAGCTTTGAGGTAAATGAAGTCCATTTGATGTTTTTGTAACATGGATACCCAAAAAGTAATGAAGAGGCCCCGGATCATTCATAGAAAATTGAGACATTAACATATGAATAAAGCGGTTAAGAAGAGTTAGGTTAGAGCCCATAACAATAATATCATCTACATAGAGAAGAAGAATAACATAGTGAGGGTCATGATGAAATACAAATAAGGAAGTATCTGCACGACTATTATGAAAATCATAAGACAAAAGAAAGGAGCTAAGTCGAGACCTATAAACCTTGAGGTTGAGACATATAAACCTCTTCATTGAGAAAACCATGTAAAAAGATATTTTTAACATCTAACTGCCTAAGACTCCAACCGCGAGATATTACTAAATAAATCACTAGACGGATAGTAGAGGGACGAATAACTGGACTAAAATTTTCACTAAAGTTAATGACTTTTTGTTGATTATAACCCTTTGCGACCAAACGAGCCTTACAACGTTCAAGAGACCCATCAACCTTTTGTTTGGCTCGACAAACCCATTTATTTCCAATTACGTTCATATGTGGATGGTAGGGTACAAGAGTCCAGGTTTGATTTTTAAAAAGGGCACTGAATCCTCTACCATTGCGTCATGCCATTTAGGATCTTTAATTGCAGAGGAAAAATAAGTGGGTTCAATAGGACTAGACTCTAGTTGAGAGAAAAGAAGACCATATTTGGGATTTAGTTTTTGAGTACCTACCATACTTCTCGTAATCATGGAATGAGAAAAGGAAGGTAAAGATGAAGTAGATGAATTAGATGGTTGAGAAAATATAGTGGTTGAATTGGGATCAGTCGTATCATATCAGTGGAAGATTGAGGCATAGAGGAAGCAGTTGGAGAATTTGAAAAGGAGAAAGGATGAGTATCTACGCCCATAACTGGGGCAGAAAAAATAAGGGAAGATGAAGGGGTGACTGAAGGAATATCTTTCGAGGCACAACCCAATGGAAAGACTTGCTCTACAAATCTAACACTACGACTAGTATAAACTCTTTTTGTAGTTACATGCATGCACTTGTAACCTTTGTGGTTAGGACTATAACCAAGAAAAATACACGCAGCAGATGAAGAAGCTAATTTGTGACAACGATAAGCCTGAAGATTAGGATAACACAAATACAAAAGGACGAAAAAAAGAGTAGTTAGGAGGGGTATGAAAAACCAACTCATATGGTGACTTATTATGTAATGTAAGAGATGGTAATCGATTAATGAGAAAGGCAACAATAGAAAACGCCTCAACCCAAAGACTATGAGGAGCTTTAGTATGAAAAAGCATCGTGCGTCCTATTTCACTAATGTGTCTGTGTTTTTGTTCAAGCACTCTATTTTGTTGGGGTGTATGAGGGCACGATGTCTGGAAATGAATACCATGAGTTGAAAGAAGGTTAAGAAACTTGGTCTGGAAATGAATACCATGAGTAGAAAGAAGGTTAAGAAACTTGGTATTAATGTACTCACAGCCACCATCAGAGCAGTTTTGATGGTAGTAGAAAATTGTTTTCAACTAAAGATTTGAATTTTTGAAAACAATCAAAAACTTCATGTTTAAAGCACAATGGATAAAATCATATAAAACGTGAAAAATCATCCACAAAATTACATAATAATGATACTAACAGAAAAAAAAAAAAAAAAAAAAAGGAGAGCTCCATACATCGGAATGAATTAAATCTAAATAATAGTTTGATTTAAAGTGACTAACAAGAAATGGCAAAGTAGCATGTTTTGAAACTAGGCAAGAAGGACAATAATATTGCCTTTTATTATTTCTACTAAAGGAAATAAATTTACTAGAAAGCAAGAAATTTAGAACAACAACTCCAGGATGACCAAGTCGGGAAAGCCAAGTATCAATTGATTCACGAGATGCGAAGAGAGCGGATGAGAATGCGATACTGGAAAAGGACGGACTGAACTTTGATGAAGAAGCCACCAGGGGATAAATAGGAGTATCACTGAGGCATGTGAGAAGTAATCTACCAGTCTTCAAATCCTTAGCAAAGAAACCCCAAGAGTGAAGCTCAATAAAACAATCATTATCTTTAGTAAAAAATTTAAGAGATAGAAGATTCTTATGCAAGGATGGAACATGTAAAATAAAGTTTAAACGAGATGTTCGATTAGGAGAAACAATTATTGAACAACCAGTAGGAGAGACAAGAATAGTACTACCATCGCCAAGAAAAATAGAGTGAGAATTACAAGGTATAGAGGGTGACTTTATCTTACCCTGATCATAAGTCATGTGGGAGCTAGCTCCACTGTCCAGATACCAAGCCTGGCTTGGTGAATCTTGAAGGGAAAAACCTGCAAATTGTCGTGAAAAATCTGAAGATGTATATGAATAATTGCGACGATGAGGGCAATCCAACGCCACGTGACCAAAATTTTGACAGATTTGACATTGTGTCTAGAGCTTGTGTGGGATTAGGATAAACAAAGGAAGGGATAACAGAGGTTTGAGAGTGTGGAGGTCCAAGTAATCCACGACCACATGCTGGACAAGACATGAAAGACTGAGAACCTGTAGAATTACTAACTGGTGCACTATATCCTCGACCAAAATTAGAGAACCTACCACCTCGACCACGATTCTACCAACGACCACCATTACGTCCCACGCGACCTGATCGTCCATTACCACGAGAAAAGGATGTAATGACTGGAGAAACTTCAGCTTTTGGTATATTGGTTGTAACAAGAGCCGTTGATGATGAGGAAGTTGGGATATCATAAAGATGTTCAAGACGTGTTTCTTGTGTTAGAAGTCGTCTCCAAAGTTCTGAAAAAAGATGGAGGGGGTATTTGATTAGAAGCCATGATGATGAAGGATTCATATGATGGTGGCAACCCATTCAAGGCATAAAGCAGAAGCTCGGAATCAGTTAGAACACGATCAATAACTTGAAGATAATCAGCGAACTCCTTTATTTTACGCATATAGATAATCACCCCTTTTGAGAGATTGAAGCTGGTACTTCTAATGATAAATCATGTCATATCGCTAGAAAATAGTTAAATGGGTCAGCACTTAGAATTAAGCTTACGTTACCTTCAAAAATAATTATAACCGATTGACCAATACCGACTCTACTAAATTTAGGTGATTTGTTGAAATAGGAGCTGACTAGTTCTTAATTACTACTCCCTTTGGTGACTTTAAGTGATATTTTGCCCCTTTTCTTGTGGTTCACAATATTTGATTTTTTAAATATTAAGAAGGAATTAACTTTTTCTTCCCAAAGTTGCCCTTGGAGTAAAGAGCCTATGATTAGTTTGTTATATATACAATGAGCAAATTAAGATTAATGTGGTTAATTTTATTGTGAATTAATGCTAAAAGGTGAATTTCTTAATATCTGTGAAAAGAGCCAAAAAATCACTTAAAGTGGACTGGAGGGAGTACTTCCTCCGTTCACTTTTAGCTATCCATTTTTAATTTTGTACTCCATTTAACAAAAAATAAATGAAGTATGTATTTTATAATTTTACCCATAATAATTGCATTTTTAAAAGTCTTGGAAAATGATTTGAGGAATAAGTAGTTAATGACAAGTGTAAAACAGGAAATAAAGATTGTTTTTCTCTTAATGAGCAAGTTAAAGGTGATGTATTTTTAGTATAGTGAACAAGTAAAAGTGAACAGAGACAGTATAAACTTAGAGATAATATTAATTAATAATGGCATGTCGCAACTAAACATTATTAAGATTCAAGAGAACGATGAACGTGGCATCATTAACAATTAATTTATTATCATTCAAGGAAACAAGACATTTCCAATATAATAAGTAACAAGTAACTAGTAGAAGTCATCATGTAGTATTCACAATGTCGTGGATAACCAAAAGTCCACAAATATCTATCTAAATGGATTAGGACGAGTTTATTTATCCACTCACAACGGTTCCAATGTTTGGTACTAAGGGTGATAAGTTATGCGTCTTTGTTTTTGATGATTTGACAAATTTCATGACAGAATCAGATAGAAAACCTGCTACAATTGGTTCTTTAGCATTCAGAGCAACAAGTCAGATATCTGGTTCAATTCTCAATGAAATCAGATAAGGAAACAACATAGGGAACAGATAGGGATCAATTTCTCCGGACACAGTACAAGTCAACTTTACAACTGTTGAAGTGTGCAGTGTACTGGACACATCATTGCATCATCTTTGATGATCTCACACACACATATTATCAACATGAGGCAAGGGATTTGATTTACTAACACTTGCAAATCCAAAAATCATATTCTCTCAAGTGCTAGCCACCACTTCTCTCAAAAACAAAGTTGTGGCAACCTCAAGGACCAGATCTAGAGATTGAAGTTACTTTAAGTCCTTAGGTTTGTTGAGTCTTTGTTATTTTGTTCTTCATGTGTAATCCTACATTACTTTGAAGAAGTGTCTTTTTAGGACAGATTTAAACCAATGTTTGGTTTAGTTTCTTGACTAGAGTTAGTCAAGGTTTGTTGCTTTGTAATAGAGTTATTGCAAAGGGCTTACAATAGAGTAATTATAAGGGATGAGGAATTAAGAGTTTAATTCCTAGATTGCAATATGTTGTAATCTGAAGTTTGCTTGGTTTAGTGGAGTTGAAATCCTACTAGGGTAGTACGTGATTTTTAATCCCTTGAACAAGGAGTTTTCCATGTAAATATCGCGTGTTCTTTATTTACTACCGATTTACTATGGGAACAAATACAGAACCTGGTTCCTTATACTGTTTGGTTTTACAATCTGTTGCTTACAGTGGAAACTGATAGAGAACCTGGTTCTCTATACAGTTTTGTGGACTCTTAGTTTCTATCAATTGGTATAAGAGCAAGTTCATTCTATAAGGCTAACACCTAGAAAGGATCAACACGGCTGCTCTACCAAGCTTTGAAGAAGGACAATCAACCTACAGATCACCAAGATTCAATGACCAATACTATGGCTGGTGGAAGACGAGGATGCATGATTTTATCATGGCAGAAGATTCAGAGCTCTGGGACTTTATCTGTGATGGACCCTTCATCCCCATAAAGACCATTAGCAAGGGAACCTGTACAGTTCCAAAGACACGGAAGGAATATAAAGATACTGATCGAAAGGCCATCGAGAAAAACTTCAGGACAAAGAAGATCCTCGTTTGTGGCATAGGACCAGAAGAGTACAACCGCATCTCAGCCTGTTAATCTGCCAAGGAGATCTGGGAGGCTCTCCAAACTGCACATAAGGGAACCACTAAAGTCAATCAGTCAAAAATCGACATGCTTACCACTAAATATGAACTCTTCAAGATAAAGGAGGATGAGTTTATTCAGGACATGTATACTCGCTTTACTTCTATCATCAATGAACTTCACTCTCTTGGAGAAATTATCCCAAGGAACAAACTGGTAAGAAAAATACTCGGTGTGTTACCTGGTTCCTGGGAGAGCAAAGTTAATGCTATCACAGAAGCCAAGGATTTGCAAAAGTTAACCACTAATGAACTCATTGGAAATCTGAAAACCTATGAGATGAAAAAGAAGAAGGATCTTGAACGAAGTGAACCCAAAAAGGAGAAGAACCTGGTCCTCAAGGCGGACAACAGTGACTCAAGTGGTGATGATGCTGACATGGCCTATCTTACTCGGAGATTCCAGAAAATGGTTCGTAGAAATGGAGGAATCCCCAAGAAAGGAAGCTCTAGCAGAAATACCAAAGGGTATGACTGCTGTCACAAGTGCGGAAAGCCAGGACATTTCATTAAAGAGTGCCCTCTTCACAAGTAGGACCACAACAAACACAACGCGGACAAGGGTGTTTAGAGGAAACCGGTCCCCGACAGGAAGTTCAAGAGAAGAGACGTTGTTGATAATGTTGTGAAGCAAGCTCTGGCTACTTGGGGAGATTCATCTAGTGAATCTGAGGGAGATGACGAACAAGGACACACCTCCATTATGCCGTTGAAAGCGAAGATGCAGAGTATGACTCCATATTTGCACTAATGGCACTGATGAGGTAAACTTTCTGTATGTTTAAAGAAATTTAAAGTCTTATTCTAAAAGAAGCCGGTATCTTTTGCTAATGTTCTAATTGATGCTTACCACAACCTCATTAATGATAAAAATATTTTAACGAAGGAAATCAGAGAGTTAGAACAAGAAAGAGATGATCTAGTGGTTGTAGTTGTAGATTTGAAAGAAATAGTGGAGGAAATAAAGAAAGAAAATATCCTCTAAAAAAATTTAATGGAAAAATTCATGAACTCTCATAAAGGAAAGGAAGTGGAAAGTGAGGCACACCTTAAGCTTGAAAATGAACTCAAAAATATAAAATTGAGTCTTGTTGTTGAACTTGAAACAAATAGACAACTTCAAGATGATTTAAGCATGGTTAAAAATGATCTAGATAAATCTCTGAAGTGGACCTGATCCCCTGATACAATCACTTCCATGTATAAAAGTAATGGGGAGAACAGGCAAGGTACCGGGTTCCACAAGGAAAAAGTTCCTTATAACCCACATGGCAAGTATGTTATTGTACTTGATAACTGGTTTTGCACTCACTGTGGTATAACTGGTCATTTCAAAGATTCTTATAAAGCAAAGTTTCATTCACAACAAAAAGATAAAGTTTTTGTTGAAAAAATATCTACTGCTAAGGAACCTGATTCTCTAAAAAAAATGTGTGATGCATGCATGGACAAAAAGAAATCTAATTCACCCTTTCCCTCATTACAAGGGACCCAAACTTGTTTGGGTTCCTAAGTTTAATCTTTCTCTTGTGCAGACAATAGTGAAGGAAAGCAGTCAAAAATGGTACGTGGATAGTGGCTGCTTTAATAACATGACTGGAAGAATGGATGATTTCCTTTCACTCAAGGCCCTGCGAGGTGGGAGTGTGTCCTTTGAAAATGGCAAAAAGGGATACATTCTGGGGATGGGAAAGATTCACAAGATAAGGATGATCAAGATGGAGATTATTCAAAGGTCCCTGGAGAGGTTATTGATATGGAAAATGGGAAGGCAAATATAATGAGTCAATTCAAGGAGACCAGTGAAGAAGATGTAGTAGAACCTCCAACTGATTAGGAGGAACCTGGTTCCTCCATCACAGCAACTGAAGCTGATAGAAAAGTTGATGATGTTGTATTAGGCACTCCTGATACAGAGCAAAGAAGTGGCATTCATACTTCCATCGATGCCAATGATGGGTCACGGAGGAACCCGGTCCCTCTCATCCTGAAACCTAGGTGTCTAACTGGAAACACAAGAGCTCACATCCTCTTCAAAATGTAATCACTCCTTGGACTCTGGTATTCAGACTAGATCCAATGCAAGAAACATATTTGCTTTCTCAGCCTTCTTGTCTCAAATTGAGCCAAAAATTATCAAGGAAGTATTGAAAGATGCTGACTGGATTGCTGCTATGTAAGAGGAGCTTCATCAATTTGAGAGGAACAAAGTGTGACACCTGGTTCCTCGGCCTTCAGATAGAACAGTTATTGGAACCAGGTGGGTGTTCAGATATAAGCTTGATGAGTTTGGCAATACTACAAGAAATAAAGTCAGGCTGGTGGTCTAAAGCTATAATCAAGAAGAAGGAATTGATTATGATGAGACTTTTGCTCCAGTTGCAAGAATGGAAGCCATCAGAATTCTCATTGCTATTGCATCTCATATGGAATTCAAATTGTTCCAAATGGATGTTAAGAGTGCATTTCTGAATGGATATCTGAAAGTGGATGTTTTTGTCAAATAACCACCCGGTTTTGAGTGCCATGAACAACCTGAACAAGTCTTCAAGCTCGACAAGGCTCTATATAGATTGAAGCAGGCCCCTCATGCATGGTATGAAATATTGTCCAGGTTCCTTCTGGAGAATGCTTTACTAGAGAAAAAATTGACAACACTCTATTTCTGAATAAACGATGGAGGAACATGCTGATTGTGCAAGTCTATGTTGATGACATCATTTTTGGTGCAATAAATGATTCCCTGTGTGAGGAGTTTGCAAAGCTTATGTGAAACGAGTTTAAGATGAGCATGATGGGGGAACTGAACTTCTTCCTTGGGCTAAAAGTAAAGAAAACCTCCAAGGGAACTATGAT